TTATAATAATTGATCATGGTAATCAAGAATCTTTCCTATATGATCTTTTAAGTAAAGTCTAATCTAAATCACAAAACCCATTTGATTTCTAGAGGAGGTATAGTCTTGCCGTATCTATTTTTGCCAATGATCTTATCCTCTTTTATAAAGCTTCTCAAGCACAAGTGGTAGTAGTAATGCATGGATTGCATTTTGAAGTTCATAAGTTGTTCTAGTTTGGATATAAATTTGACTAAATCCAAGTTGTATGTCTCGCTAAACATTCAAAGGTAAGTGGCTAGCACCTTTAATGAACCCTATGGTATTCCTCTCACTAGAGATTTAGGCATTTATCTAGGTGTGGCTATCCTACACAAGTTGGTGCCTTGCTAGTACATAAAAGCCTATTCTTGAGAAAATCCAAGTCAAATTGGCTAGTTAGAAGCAAACCATGTTAAGCTGGGCAAAGAGAAAGATCATGGTTCCATTAATCACTTCAACAATACCAACCTATGCCATGCAAACACAATTATTGCCAAATAATTTCTGCACAATTGATTGCCTAAATAGAAATTTTTTATAGGGCTTTAATGCTACTATTCATAAACCACATTTGGTTAGTCGACAAGATGGTAGCCTACCATGTGAGTTTAAAGGCTCGGAGCTTGGCTTTGCTAAGAAAAATAAATAATTATTGCTTACAAAACTAATGTGGCAATTTGTTACTAATAAGTAAAAAACTTGGTGCTGAGTTATGTCACAAAAATGTCTACTTTTAGTGTCTTTCATAAGATGTCCTATAATCCTAATATCCTTGGCAACTTGGAAAAACATCTTAGGATATAAGAATGTACTATAATTGGGCTTGAAGTGGCATGTAAGTTTGAAACTAATATTTGGCTATGGCATGATGTTTAGGTTGATGACTCAAGGCTCTTGAATAATTTGTTAATTCATGTTTTGGATGAGCTACTAGTAGCATCTATCTTAACAATTCTCATGTAGGATAGACAATGGGAAATTAACTTATTAATCTACTTTTTGCCTGAGCATATGGTTAGGAGTGTGTTAACTACCCCTACCTCTACTTTTGGCTAGTTTAGTAAACAAAATTTGTTTAAAAGGGTCCTTTAGTGGTTAATTCTCAATGAGGTTAGCCTTCTCATTACTACAAAAACAACATAGGTGGTATAGATTTTGGAGATTAAGATGCTATGAACAAATTAAAGGGCTTTTTTTTTTTTTTGTTACTTAGAAAAGATAGAGTTCTTTTCACTTAACTTTGGCACACGGTTGGGGAAAATGCAATAGTTACCATATCTACTAAAGCCCCTCATCAACATTCGCCTAGTCTCTTTCTTTCTACTATTTGGACCATTTGGAAGAACCAAAAAAAAAAAAAATGATATTTGAGCACTCTTAGATTCCACCCTACATGTTATATGATCAAGCTCATAAGTTGGTTCTTGACATGCAAATGACACTTACCTCTAACATTATCTCTTCTCTTAAAATTCTTAGGTGGATAAGCTGGCAACCTCTAAACTACCCCTTTACTAAGTTGAATGCAAATGGTTCTATGGCACATACTACGATATAAGCCATTGTTGATGATTGTTGATGGATGTTTTTTTTGTAAAAGGTTAAATTTGAATTCAGGTAGACTTCACATCATTAAGATCCACATTGATCTCAATGCTAAGCCATACTATTTTGCTCTATTACATTGGTCATCATTAGCTCTATTACATTGCTATAAATGAAATGAGCTTAATATGCCTTACATTGTTAAAGTTGGCAAACCTAGGGTTTACATTCAACATGAAGCACATTGTTAGAAAGAGGCGAACTTAGCATTTTTTACATCTTCACAATGCCAAGAGTGGCACGTATAAACTCGATATGGTTAGAGCACTCTTAGCTCAAACATGGTTGGAATAAACTAGTGTGGACATCACCAAACACTTACGGTTTAAACATCATCAGCTATGGCAAAAATCAACAATAACACATTTTGGAGAAGCACTGGTGCCTCCAACATGCCCAGTGATATCAAATGCTATAATGCACAGCTGCATCACCAGACATACATAAGGAAGTCTCTTTCCTTTATTATTTTCTAACTTATTAGATTTTATCACTTTCATCAACTAATCCCTATCTTATATATAAGTCATCAATGAACCCATGGACCCAAGCCCATGACATACTTTGAAAGAGATTATGGGAGTCGTAGCATGGCAGGCATAAAGGAATAAACATTGCTGACCTCTCAAAGTACAGTATTTGTTTACCCAAGGTTATGGTCAAGCTAAGTTATCCATCTTCGCTAAGAAGGAATGAAGCTAAGCAACAAAAAACTTGGCCTAAATAGTTAGTTAGATCTTAATTGGACAAGTCTTTTCACTGATAAATGTAATCATAGTTGTACAAGTTTTTGTGCATTCGTAATTGGTGAAAAGATCACAAGATATTTAGGAAATCTACCAAGTCTTGGAATGAGGAAAATTGATGGCAAAACCCAAGCATTTATCAAAATTAGTGTTATGCACAACTCTAAAATTGCTAAGTTTTAACACAATTGTAATGGACTAGTGATTTTCCACTAAAAACATTAGAGAAATCATGATGACACATCAAGATTTGTCAAAATGGCCTAGATTCACCCAAAACTTGACACCTATCATCAACTGAACCTTCTTCAACTTCAGATTACATAAAATCCTAACACCCCTAGTAGCATTTTCCCAATAATTATGAAAATGCCACTGTTATATAAATAACCTTATTCCTTATTCTTCCATAACATGGATCCCTATTTTTCTAGACTTACTTCTCTTTCTAAGATTCCTTTTCTTCCTTAACAGCATCTCTCTCTAAAATCCTTCTATTTTCCATATAAGAATCCATGCCAAACACTTTCAAATCTACACCAACTCACTACCAATCCATCATCATTACACTCTTACAGGCATTAGAAACCCCAAATCTCTAAGATTTCCTCATTTAAATAATACTTCTACATGGGCTTTGGAAACCCCAAATCTCTAACATTTACCTCCATTTTCTCCACAAAAGCCCCATACTTGTGGCATCCACGACTCCATGTTAATCAATCATCATCTCCGTTTCCATCTAGATCTCCATCATCATCCGGCTACATTTCTTGACCAGCCATCCACAAAGCTAGCTCCATCATCAAGGCGAACTCCAACAAGGCTGGTTTCCCAACTAAGCTTCCCATAATGCTTATTTCTTCTTCTCCCACCACACTTTTATGTTCCTTCTCTTTATAGGGTGAATGTGAGAGGTCATGTTGTAATGTGTACAAAGTATGTAACTCATCAAAGATGTAATATTTATGCATCCTCGTTCTTTATCTATGAACATAAAGAAATATATAGAGAGATGTATCTTTCATGTTCATCTTTGTACTCTTATATATATATATATATATATTTGTAAGTGATCATTGAAGGGCCACTTCAACCATATGTCAACTCTCCCTAACAATGCGCTCAACCCAGATGTCATTCTTCCTTAGCAATGTTAGGCTACTATGTCAATGTGCTCTTCTCTAGCAATACACCATCACTTCACCAAATGCCCATCCTTTGCCAACAATATCCCATTACTTTGTTGGATAATTATCAATTCCTAGTTGTACTCCATTGCTTCACCAGATGTTCATCCTTCCTTGGTAATATCCCATTGCTTCGTTGGTGTGACCCTCTTTCTTAGAGATGTCATGCTATAATATCAATGTACTACTCTTCAATGATATGTCATCAATTTGCTAAATGCTTAGCATTTCCCACCAGTGTCTTATAACTTTGCCAAAGTGATTTCTTCCCTAGAGATATCATATCACTTCGCCAGCACAACACTAATAGGGCCTGGAAGCATAACGGTTATTTGCATGTGTTGTAGGTTGTACAACTTGTCGAACTCCCTAACTTCATTGGTGTTGGTCAATATTAGTCTTATCATAGGCATGCTGATATTACCTTCACACATGTTTAGTCAATACTCATGCCTATCCATACCATTAACTAAAAACACCCCCAAACAGTGATCAACCTGGATACTACAATTATGGATTCATGGGTTTGTTATGAATATTGATCCTAACTTAAGTTTCCTTGCCAAGCTATAGAGATTTCAAAGAAGCACTATGGCTTTCTATGTCACTTAGAATCATTCACTTATTGCTTGAAATGGATTCATGTTGGTTATGCAACAGATCCAAGCTCATAGGAGTGTTAACAAGTTAACATCTACCTTGCTAATAGATATCTTCCATATTTTAGATAGTTTTGAAATATATAAGGTTCAACACACTCTTTGTAAAGGCAACTATCTTGCAGATTATATGGCTTCCCTAGGCTAAAGTTTGTCATAAGAACAGTTTACTTTGAGGATCTATTGACTAGCATATTACTAATCTTGTAGAAAGGTAATATAGTGACACTATTCCTTAGATATTAGCTACTTCTTTTAGCTTCATATGTTTTTTTGGGGCTAATCTCTTGATATCCAAAAATCACGTTGGGTCCCAACTAATTCAAAGTTAAGTTACATTGGATCCCATAAGAGAAAAACTCTCCAAGTATATATTTCTCCATTTATAAGACTTGAACTTAAGAATTGATCTCCTTTCACTTGGTGTCACGCCCCATAACCCAAATTTTGGGATGTGGCAGACGCCATACACTTGTGAGAGGGTCCCACAAATGCACAAGGCTCGAAACTTTACCATACCACAAAATCTATTTTGAAACCATAAAATCTCAAGGAAAAATCTATCTTACAAAAGGATGATAATATCTAAAACTTATATTCGATTACAATTGGCTAGCCTTTTATCTAGTCATTCCCCTTGGTTTTCGTGTCTCGAGTCACACTACTTGAAACGGTGGACAAGAAAAAACGAGGTGAGATAACTCAGTAAGTGAAATATGGGTAGCCCATAATTAAACTCATAGCATGCCAACAAGTGTAATCACGAAAAAGGGATACGGTACAGAAATGAAATATACGTCTCCTCTATAGGTCATGGCTAGTGTTATAAACCTCCCACTGGCAGGCACACTATTTGCTAGTGTATAATCCCACTAGCAGGATAATAGTATCACAGAAACGAATCGGTTCTATCAATAACATGTCGACATGTGCTAGCGTTTATAAACCTCCCACTAATGGGCACACTAATAACATGACCATATCGGAGACAAAACAGGCGTTAACAGAAAAATCATAATTCACCAATCACTTTCAGATCATCGGACAATCAATTAAATTTCAAGTAGGCATGCTTAATTTAATGAAAAGCATAAAAATTTCACTTCAAATTAGTCATGCTCGTATAAAACGGGTTTAGTCCCGCCACCATTTCAAAACCATCAAAAATTTGCTTTTAAAAGCTTTACCTTAAATCCAAGGCATTACCATAAGTTACTTACCTTACTCGCATAAAACCGAAGACTCGATCCAAGTGCTAGAGTGAACAAAGGATCAAGAACCTAACCAAAGCCTCATTGTTCCCTCCCAATTGAAACACGAGATTCCTAAGGAAAAGAATATAACATTCAACAAACAATCCATTTTTCAATTATAAACCACTTAAATCGCACCCGCATCTACTGCCATATTTATTTCCTTATTATTATTTTTATTTCCAAGATTTGAGCAGTAAAAGCAAATTGTGCACACACACACACATATATATATATATACACATTTATAAAATTGTCCAATCTCACGGATAAGAACATGGAGACCCACGGCTTTGGCCAAAAATGGCTAAGTCATGGGGATTTTTCTCTATAAAATTCACAGCAACCAAATTAAGCTAATCTCTACTTAAATTAAACAAAAAACACCATTTAAACCTATCAAAATTCTCCTATCTTCCAACATAATTTTCGGACAGCACAAGGGTAGCACTAAGTGGATTAAACTTCAACAAGCAGCAATTAAGTGGGTAATTCGGACTTAGAGGAGTGGCCATCATACTAGAATTTTTCTAGCTGCAGAATCGGACCTGGCAGGGGGAAGAGGCCGTCGGCAATTCTGCAGGGGAACTCACGGAATTAACCCAAAATTGGAAGAACAAACCAGGTTAGGGTGAACCCAACATAAATCAAGGTTAAAGAGAGGAGTTTCAGGGTTACTTCTTACTGAAAAGACCCAAAATTTCACACCCACACACCCACAACAGCTTGCCGACGAGAAGGAAGAACAGAGCAGATCGGCAGTTTCCAGCTTTAGAGGGAGGGTTCTAAGTCCCACCGCTTGTTCTTGCACAAGAAAGAGGGGAAAATATCCAAGCTTTGTCACCAATTTTCAAGGAGGAAGTCGGCAGCTGGGGAGGGGCTTGTTGGGGAGAAAAGAAGAAGAGCAGGTCGCGGGTCTGATGAGGAAGAAAGAAAGAAAGAAAAAAAGAAGAAGAAAAAGAAAAGGCAGCTGATCCTTATCTCATTTTTTTTCTTTTAAGTCCCTAAACTTTGGAGTTTTTAGCTATTAGACCCCAAAACAATATTTTCTCACACAAAGGGCCTCAACTTAAATGCTAGAATTTCAGAAAATTTGGGATATTACACTTGGACCAACAAGTTAGTTTTTAGCTTCATATGTAAAAAAAAAAAAAAAAAAAAAAAAAACACAAAATTTTGTAGTCTTTTTAGAATTTTTTTCCCCATTTCAATTGAATTCACATAAAACCGAGGGAATTTTTTTTTTTTCAATTTTATCTTCCTTAATCCGCTATCTTCATATAATGTAAAAATAGCTATATTAAAAGGGGTTAAGAGTGCATTAATTGCTCCTTTTCCTTAGATTTAGAATTTGTACCAAAATAACAATTTTTTTTTTGATATTTTAAGAGAAACAAACTTTTTTTTCTTATTTTAACCTTATTATTATTTATTTATTTTAATTATTCATCCTATTGTTATTTAAGTCTCATTATTTTTATTTCTTTTTCAGGGGTAATATAAATAAAAATAAAAAATTGTCCCAAAATTTTCAATTTGAAGATTAAATAAAAAAAAAGGTCTATTATTCTGAAATGGATAAAGCAATTTACAATGGAAAACATAAAGCTTTATTTTTAATACTAATGATATGTACATAATTTTAATTGGACAATTTATAAAATTGAAGTTAACTTTTTTTTCTATAACAATTAATTAAAAAATGTAATTGTTGCACTCTTGTAGCACATGTTAGAAAAAAAAAATCCAATAAAAAAGGATGATCTAATAGGGGTGCCCATAGTGTATATTGGTTCAAATTTTAATATTTTTAAAACCAAATCAATTTAAGAGGTTAGTAAAATTTTTAAACAAATTAATCTACTACTATATTATAATTAAATCAATCCAATTTAAATTAAATTGGTGTGGTTCAATTAAATTAATTAATTTTTAACACTATTTTAAATATATTTGATTAGATAAAAAAAATTAAACATCAAATTGTAGAAAATACAATTACAAAACATATTAACATCATAAATAACAAAATAATAGTGCCAATAAAGCAACCAAGACATTTAAATCCAAATTGTTATCACTCAAGAGGGTAAAGAACTTTAAAAGCAGAGTTTTTGTTTGTATAAGAGGTGATTTAGAGTTACACTTCTTTATTATAGAAAGCTGCACTACTTTTCAATTAATTTAATTAAGTTATATTTTGTAATTATAAAATAAAAATAAGACAAGAAAATGATAGCTAATACAATTAATATTATAGTACAACAATTAAAAAATATTATTATAGAAATGAGAAAAAGTACAATATAGAAAGAAAAATTTTAAATACAATTTGTAAACGATTTGTTAATTATATTTTTATTTTACTGGAAAATTGAAAATATATATTTAAAAGCAAATTAAAAAGTAAAAATATCATATTATTTAATGAAATTATTTTGTAATTATAGACTTTAGTCGATTTGAAGATAAGCTCACAAATTAAACTAATTATATCAGTTTTGAAAATTTTTAATTCAAACCAACCCAAATTGATATCAGTTTGGATTGAATTTAAGTCGAATTAAATCAATTTCAATCAGGTAAATCAATTTAAATTGGATATGAACAACTTTATAATTTAATATTTTAAAATTATGTATTCATATTACTATTATAACTAATTAATGACTTTTTAATATTAATGCAAATACCCTAAACATCAATCAAAAAGCAACAAAAGAGTATTTAAGCAAACAAAACTAAAAGAGTTTTTGCGAAATTTAATTGATTTGGTAGAAAGGCTCTACATCAAACAAGTTAACCCATAATACTTGCGCAATTCATGCGCAAAATCTTCCATACCTAAACGTCAAATACTTGTACTGGGTGAGCTCTTTATTTTGATTATTATTATTAAGAATTTTTTAACTTGTGCCTTAAATGTATAGGTTAAGCTTCATTAAATGTAATATAAAATGTAAAATTAAAATAAAATATACTATTTGTATTTGAAATTAATAAAAAATTTAAAATCTGATATAAAAATTTATGTAAAATTAATTACAAATATTATAATTAATAAAAATTAAGGATGTAAGACAAATACTTATTGCTATTATAAAAATTATTGTTGGAGGAGCTCACCTCATTAATAATTATTATTTTGTAGTTTGCACAATACGGATTATAACACAACATTATGTTATTATTATTAATAAAAGATTCGGTTAAAGTAGGGAAAAAAAAGCGCAAACTTGCATATGATAGTAGAAGTTATTTATTGCTGTACTTCCATTTCAAAATATTAGTCCTTTCGTATTAAAGATTTTTCAATAATTTATTTTTTATCTTATAAAACGAAAAAAATAATTAATTGGGGACAATTTTCGGTTAAAAATTAAAAAATCACTATTATTTTGAAAAAAAACACTACTAGAAAACCGTATATAATCAATAAAAATATAATCGACAGTCAAAAAACTGTCGATTTTACTTGTATCATCGATAAAAACTCTGTCGATTATATAGGTATAATCGACAGCCATTGTAGCTGTCGAATATACTTTCTATAATCGGCAGCCATTTCTGTTGATTATAGTCAGTATATTCAACAGCAAACAAAAAAGAGAGAATTACATAAATCAAACTGATCATTTGTTAAAAAAAATAGCATATCAATTTAAATATAAAAATTAAAAATACAAAAATTAAAAAAATTAAAAAAATCAAAACATAATCAACAGCCATAATGACTGTCGAATATACTCACTATAATCGACAGTCATTTTTGTCGATTATAGCAAGTATAATCAACAGTCACAATGACTGTCGATTATAGTTGAAACCCACCCATTCACCCCAAAAAAATTAAATCTCCCGGCTAATTTAATTTGAAATATATTCGACAATCTTACTTTAATATAATCGACAAAATTTCTGTCGAATATATTTTTATTATATAAGGGTTTCAAAATCAGAACATCCCATTGTCTTCTTTTTTTTTATCTCCTATTATCTCCTCCTTTCTCCTCCTCTCTCCTTCTTTCTCACAAGCCGTCCCAGTTTTTCTCTCAACTTTTTCTCCTTTTATTTTTCCTTTTTCTTTCATCTTTTATACTCTCCCATTTGTATTTTTGTAAATATCTCTAGTTTTATTTTAGTTTTCCTTTATACTTATTCCATTATTTT